CTAATTTTGGTTTTCGTTGTTTTCTTTGCTTTGTTTACTTTTCGCTCACAAATCACGGGGTGTTTGTAAGTAAATAAAATCTAATGCAAACAACGTTTTGGATCCAAGTGTCCGGCCATCATCAACTCTACAACCAAAAAAAAAACAACGTTTTGGTATAAAAACTAGGATTCAACGCCTATGCTGTTTTTTTTTTAAATTAATTCCACAATAGAATTGCTTTGTAAAATTTATAGACCAGTTATAACAAAATCCCGATGTATAATTAATTCCACTAGACATAGTGGTACCCCCTTTGTTTTATTTCCCTTCTTTCATTTCAATATTTGGTGTGAAATGAAAACGACTAAAATGCGTATTGGTGATATTTTAAACCACTCTGTGTGTATTGCCAATTGAAAAAATACGCCATTGTACAATTTTATACACAAAAACCAGAAGGACAGGATAAGCTACGCATTTGTGAAATGTAAGTTATTTTTTGCAACTTTGATTTGATTAACTAGTTGTATTATTTGCATATAAAGGGGACGTCACAAAAACGCCGCACAGGAAGCCATTATGATAAACTTCACGCAACAGTACCCCGGAATTGCGTGTGGTACGATTCAGTGCAAACAAAAGCGGAACGCGTTATGGGAAGCTCTTGCAGAAAAGCTGAATAACCGGGGACCACCAAAGAAACCAATGCAGCGGTGGAAGAAGGTTCTTAATCCATTCACATATGTACATAAATATATACATACATATGTGTAGCGAGATCTTTTTTATGGTTATTTAGGTTTGGATAGATTGGCGCGCAGCAGTAAGAAGAAAGATCATGTTTGAAAAAATTGAAGCCAACGCATCAGTCGCACAGGACGACGAAACATTATATAAAAAGACTTCATTATCGCCTGCCGAAGGTGAATTAGCTCGTATATGTAAGCTTTTTGAAGCTGATGTCGACGTTGATAACAGCTCAGACGTGCAAGAAGATTCGAGTCCGATATCTGAGGGCACCGCCACAATTGTCAAAGACGAGTTAGTGTTCGACGAGGAAGATGATGAAAATTCAAAAGATTATGATGTTGCTGTTGCAGCTTGTGAGGATAGAAGTAATGAGAAGTCCACAGAGGCTGAAAACATAAGTGTGCGAGATTTCGCTCAATGTCCAACTTCAAGTGGACTAAACATTAAAGTAGATAGTAGTGAGGATAAGGTTGAAATTAAAAAGCGCAAAATTGATGCAACAGCAACGGAAGAAAGTGATGACTTAATCAAGATTTTAAGACAGCAAGTAACTGTGATAAGTACGATTACGAAGTTTCTTGCAGAAAACGTCAATTTGCAAACCGAAAATTTCCGGGTTATGAATGAAATAAGACAGGGCCTAAAGGAAGTTTGTATGTCAATAAAAACACTCAGTGACGTTACGAATGATAATCTAAAGGAGCAACGCCGACACAACTATGAAATAGAGAAGCTGCAAAGAGAAGAGGTCTTATTAACAAAACAACAACTAGAACTGGAAGAATTGAAGGTATTTGGAAATAGAATGCACGAGTAATTTCTACAGTATTTTGATAAATTCTTCTAACTTTCTCTAAGTCATAAGTCTGGATTTTCATTTTTTTCATTATTTCGGCAATATGAATAGTCTTTGCCTTACTATGTATGTATTTAATTTTCATTTAAAGTTACGAATGTTGACATCATTCCCATTAAGTCGTATTAATTTTAATGAAATAAAATAGAAATTTTACATATAATCTTATGTTTAAGGCAGTATCTGGTTGAAAGGACAATGCGATTCTGCTCTATTATAGGTGAATATATATTGTTAAATATACTGAATGTTGTAGCAGAAAGGCGCAGCATCAAAGTTCGCATAAGAATCAATTTTAAGTCCAAAACAACATACCAGCATTATTAATTTTTTATTATTTTATAATTTAAAGTTATACTGTTAAGTTTGGTAACGCAATGAAAATCGAAGGTTCCTTTCCTTCTCTTTTTTTAAGAATATGCCGTCGTTTAAGAGTGCAAAACCGTGAACCGTGGTTCTACAAAAGAGAAAAAGTAATACAGTTTTCACTCTAGGTAAAATTTGAGCAACCTCACATATGATGTCTTGCATTATTTTGATACGCGGCTTTGTACTATAAACGCCGATATTTTAATTCAATTTTTATGAACATACATACATATGTATGTACCCACATAGGCAAAAATGTTCGTCATTTATAAATGCAAATTTTTTTTTAGATTTTTCAGATATATTATAATGCATTAGGTCCATTTTAGTACCACCAAATTTTTAATGAGGTTTTTATTGTTATAAAAATATACATACAATTCATTAACAAAAACAAAGTAAAATATCGGTTGTTAGTATATTTGTAGTTTGCCCTTCTTTCAACTTCGTTATTTACTACATCCGTTGTGGCATTGTGTCCAACAATTTTTTCGTAACATCAGACACCGATTTTCAATTTTTGAATAAAAATAAATAATTCGATCTTTAACATTTAAAAGCAATTCCCATTTTTACAAGCCTTTACCTAACTTGCTTTGTATGTAGTACATAATATTATTATATTATTATTATTATTATGTATGTTTGTCGAGATATTTGAAAAACCTGTATTTATAGTTATTGAGAAAAAATATTACCTACATTTTAAACTACAAATGTTTAGATTCCTTAGAAAAACTTCGATTTTTTTATTTCTCGCAACTTGCTGGCTATTGGCTTGATCAAAATGTAATGGCCGGAAGTACTTACAGGGTTGTATTACAAGACTGAACACCCTTCAAAACAGAGTTGCCATCAATCTTAATATAACTTGTATAAAAGTACAATATATGGCTGGATAGATCTTGCATGACATTTTCTTAGCAAAGTATACATATGTTCGTCTTACAACATGAAAGGAAATAATTCTCCGGGAAATGTAGTCGGTTGGTGGTGCGGGAGTCGATATATTTCAAAAATCTGCATCTATGGTTTGATTTACTTAGAAAACACAGCAGTCTCTAACGTTAGAGAAATTTGTATTTCTACATTAGATGACTAGGGTAATTTTTTAATCGTTCTCGAGTCGATGAGATTAGAGAAACAACGCAAATTCAAATAAATGTAAATAAGCAAAATTCCAAATGAATGAATCATAAATTATTTTAAGTTCAAATAATTCATTATTATTTTATTGCAAATACATTAAATACAAACTTTACAAACAGCGTTTTGTTTAATGAAGCAGAACAATAGTTTGAAATTCACATTCGAATGTCCCATTAGAGATCAACATTAGAGTACGATCAAAGAATTAATATTTTCTCGAGTCGAGAACTATGTCCCATTGGAACTATGTCCCATTTTCGTTCCCACGACAGTCGGGTCTACGTAACCGGAACGACCCAGATAGATATATATCTGGCCAAGGACTGCCACCACTCCAGCAACACTCCCCAAAATCTCTTTTGGGGAATTTGTATGCTGTTACAACAACAACAACAACATGTCCCATTTTTGTTGAGGTCGCTATGATTCTCGATAGTTTCTCGAGTCGTTCTCTAACGTTTGTGATTGGATAATGTGGCTAGTTCTCCAATCATTCTCTAATCGATAACTAACGTCAATGTTTGCTGGGTTAGTTTAAATATAGGGTGGTATCATGAACCAAAAATACAAGATCACGTAAGAACGCGACGTTGTATTTGTAACTGGTTTTGAGGAAAAAGTTTGCGAAAGCGGGCTCGTCAGCTGAGCGTTTGTTTACATCACAAGCACCACTATTTTGCACTTTTATTCAAGTAAAGAAGAGTTAATTCAACATTACAACAAATTTTAAAGCATTTTGTTGCATCATTTTACCTAAATTGTGCGTTTAAAGAGGCTGACAATTATTTGGCTAATTTTGGTTTTCGTTGTTTTCTTTGCTTTGTTTACTTTTCGCTC